GGAAAGAGAGGGAGGAAAAGATCAAAATATACATCCACATATTGCATAAAAGTTAATACCCTTAGTTAAAGACAAGTAATAAATGTGCATCCATAATTAACTGCAATTATCCATTTTCTCTTTCCATAATCAGACTTTTATATTTTAAACCCATCGAGACTTTTGTTAACCGATAAACCTCTCTTAAATCTTTCTTTCCCCCGACTCTTATTCCGATGCTGCAAAATGAAATTTCGTTGCGTAGACAATTACATGTTCATACATGTCCATAATTTCATTAGCCATTTTCATTCTATGCATGAAAAAGTGGCGAATGTGTAGTGAAAGAACAACGCGAGAGACTCAGCTTATGGAAGTTTAGTTCATTAAGAATAGGGGTGTTAAGAATATGAAGGCTTGACAGTACGATATAAGCGAACTATGTACATCGATTGGACAAAGTATTCTCGGTTCAAAATCGACTATTCATTATCAGCAATAGTTTATACGGTATGAATATTTGCCGGTAATTGAATAGTCATTTCAAAATATTCTGCGTTTATACATGTTTAAACGCACGCATACATTCACACATACATACACGCACGTACGCACGTATACACGCATCCATATACAACCTTTGTAATTATAATATTGAGCATCCGTTCGTTTCCATTGTTTTTCGTCGAAAAAATTCTCATAGAGTTGATTTAACACACTTTTTAATCTGGCTTCCCTATGTATGTACTTAAATCCTTCTGCTATTGTTCATCCGTTAATGGTACTAATTATAATTTGTTTTGTCTAAAGAGACAACATAAGTTATGCAACGTGCGTAACGATGACGTTACTAACAATCTTTTTTAACCATCGAGACTATATTCCGGATCTAAGGCCGATGAAACGTTTACATCGTCGGAATGGGTCTCGTATTGATAGCAATTTTCAATCACTAAACTCGCAAGTTCTTTTATACGTTCGTACGGTCTGGGATCCGCTATCACTGTGTGTAGTTTCTCCATTCCTCCTTCTTTTACTACCAATGCGCAATATTTGAATGCTAAAAAGATCGGATTATATTGTAAAATAGCCACAGATGCGAATATGCTAATAAATGCATATATATTCGCGACACAAATATGAGCATTAATATATCGCATACGTACGATATACTTTGGTGAGATTGGCGAGAGCCCAAGCAGCCCAATGTTGACACGGAGAAGTATGATATACATCTAATAGACGCAATAATGGTCCGAACGAGCGATAATTGATATTACGTTCTGCATTTAAATCCCAACTTTCGATCGCTTGTACCATGTATTTAAGGACCTCATTGCGAGTTGGCTTTTCTATCGTCCAAGCTTCAAGGCCATCGGAAGCCATGTGTGCCAATATACCAGCGGCGTTATATGGAACCTGTACAAGTAAAAAAAATATACTTGTTGCTATTTTAAACAGTAAAACATGTTCAAATAAAACTGAAATGGACAGTTAACAAATAATTAAAGGAAAGCAGAGAAGAAAATACCTCAATTCCGTCGCTATTGGAGCGTAACAGACTGGCAAAAACAGTTACATATCGTTCCTGCATGAGATGGATTCGAAGATATTCAACTTCCGCCACATTGCCGAGTAATCCCATCATATTTCTCAGCAATTCTTCCTTATGTGGATATTGCTAAGCAAAAAAATATTATTGCAATATGAATGAAAATCCGTATAACGAATTAAACACAATGTACCATTATCGTAATCAAATATTTATAATGAAACCATACCTTCACGCATAGAAGAAAAAGCGCCATGCCTTTTTCATCTAAAAACCGTTGGCAATTTACGGACGTTTCATCCGTCATGTTCCACATGGTTGACCATGCGACCTCTAATACGTCGTCAAATATATTAGATTCCACCCTATATTCGACCAATTCTAACATAGTTTTAACACAACCTAATTTGCCAAGTAGTCTCTTCTCTTTACCCTCCACTTGACAAGCCAAAGAGTTTAATAGATATATGCCGATTCTTTGGACAAAACTCTCCGGTTCCGAATGTTTGGCTGAATGTAGAAGCACCTTCACGAGCGCTTCGTAATTCGACATCTATCGAGTGGAAATAATGATGATAACAATGTTGCAATAGTTATATAATCATGACACTTAAAACTTAAAAGATTGAAAATAACACGAACCACATCTTGAGGTATGCGGAATTGACACAATGCCAAACAACCGTTCCTCATCATAGTCTCCTCGTCTCTGTGCGCGCTCATACCGGCAAGTAAGGTACTAATAATCCTCCTCTTCATTCGCGCTACTAGTTCACCCTTTTCCTTCATCTTCACTATGTAAAATAATGTAGCGCTGCAACATATTGATATTGTATTAGAATTGTATCAACGCAACATTAATAATGCTTTCTTAAGTCTCGCAATTACTTTTCCCCCAGTGAATAATTTTTAAATAATATAATATACAAGTATATTGTGTATACCTTCCTGATATCTGTATATGTTTCTGAGCTGGATGCTTTTCCATAGCTTCCAAGACAGTACATAATGCTTGATCCATTCTATGACAATTTTCATACCTAAATACGTGATACAAATCGCTCAGTACCTTTTGTAATAATTCTTGCTTATTGTCCATACAAACATGAGCTGCGATCAATATTTGATCTTCATTTGCATCACCAGCCACCTGAAAATCGAGCCATATGAAAGTGAATAAATGAAGAAAAGATTAATACTTCTACATATATTTGAATTTAATCATATATTACAACTTACTACTTTTGCTGGTATGTCATGCCTCCTGCAAGCACCATGAGCAGTACCATAAAGTCCTAAAAATTGTAATGGCTTGTTTATTCTGGACGCAAGACCTGGTATGTCAGAAAGCTGACCAAAATTAGAATCCTCAATTTTTGTATCGACGGGACGTTCGGCTACACCTCTACCCGCGAGATTTGTGCCGCCGATATCTAAGGATACCAACTGGGGTAAACCATTCACTAAATCACTTAAAATCTTATTGGGATTATCAAACTGTCCATGCTTGTAATTCGATTGTGAAATATCCAAATGCCTATAAAAAAATATTCTATTAAATTTGCATTGTCCAATATAGGCTTATTTCTATGTATCATTTAGCAATGCTTGTAGTTCTAAGAAAATTTTACAATCAAGTACAAGTTTTACACTTATAATGTCATAATTACAATTATGAGATATACCTTAAATTCTTCAACTGACAAATGTTTCTAACAAAAGATTTTGGATCGGTATTGACCCTGACATTGTATAAAGTTAAAGACACTAAATTTGGTACCCGGTAATAAAAATCAAATGTATCAATGTCAAAACTATTAGATAGATCCAAATGCGTCAGATGGGTTAATCCTTTTAGAAGCATAGAATATTCCGACGCAGGTATTCCTACATATCCTAATGCCAAACGTCTTAAATTTGGCGTTTTAAAAACGTATTCTCGTTCGTAGTAATTGATGGATGAATCAACTGCAATAAAACATTGCAAATAATTTAACCGACAATTCACTTGTTAAATAATCTTTATAATATACTGCAAAATAGAATAGTTAGTTCAGCGGTCTCACCTGTATTCAAACTGGATGGTACGACCATTGAAGTTCCGTGAAACGCTAAATTATGCAGATTCTCCGAATTGTCATTAATATATTCGATACAGTGTTCCGTTAAATTACTACAATCGGTTAGTTCTAAGTCGTAGAGTTTGTGATTAACAAGCGTGTTAACCGAGACGTCGGTCAAGCTGCAATTGGAGATTTTTACGTGTTTCAGTCGGGTGGCTGTTAAATTTTTGAAAATCGAGAAGAAACAATCGTCGTCCTCGGTGGCCTCGCTGTGCTGCGCATATTCGATAATCTTGTCGCATATCTCGCTAGGAAAGGTTATTCCCTTCCGTAATATTCGATGACCGCGTTTTCCTTTTATCGAAATAATGTCGAGATTCTCGCAGATCAGCTTGAAGCACAAATCGGTGAGACGTTCCGGGCCTACATATTGATCCGTGTGAAATAAGTCATCCAGCTCGGCCATTCTCTCGACAGAGGTAGATTATTTATTGGATCACGACCGAATCACGCATGAGAGAGGACGCCTGCTACAACACCCTTCTCTGTGTGATTGCGCAATTTCGATTATCGGGAATATGCACCTAGAGAAATAACAAACGTCCGATAAACGTCAAACGAGGGACGGACATCAGCTGGAAACGGGCGACATGGCGTATGTCAGAAATGTTGTTGTATACGAACTATCCGCTGACCGCATTTAGCTATTTCATCTGAGTGTTGTGTCTCAATGTAATGCGTAATCACCACGCATATCGTAAAAAAAAAAAAAAAAACACGACTCGCGGACTCGTGTGTTAGATGTTAGAAGCGACGCGGCTTGATCCCGATGCGGCTCAAGCTGCGCATCGAGAAATAACGCGACACGATTTTCCTCGATCTAGAATCGGTCCGGAAAGCTTTAGCTACAGCTGTTACCACCGCACTGTCGCCACCAACGTCACTGTTACAACCAGTATCGCCTTTACACGGCCGTCGCTAATAACTTTTCTCTATATTGTTTTCTCCCTTCTTCACTCTTCTTCCTCGTATTACTTATTATTAGGCGTCGCGCGTAGATTTCGACGTTCCTCACTTCATATTACTATGTGTCTGCATGCTATTTAAAATAATATTTTATCGATTACAGTTCAGTTTACGCGTGTCATGCATATGTAGAATATATTATATAGAATGTATGGTATGTGTCTAGAAGTCTAGAGAAGGGCAATGTTTAATCGAGATTAATCGATGTTCGATTTCTCTTTCATCGATTATTCTTTTGTGTGCGATATCATTTCAAATTCAATTAATCTCTTCTTAAGATATTACTTGATTTCGCTATATTTTATAATAATAAATAAGTTTGTCTGTGTAATATTTCAAATTTACAATTAGTAATAAACTTATTCATATTAGTTGTCTGTGATAAAACAATCGCGTGTTAATGACATGTTATACATTGCAAAAACCATAATCAAGGCCGCGTGGCCAACCAGCTTATTACAGTATTTTATATTTTATAATATTAATCTTACAGCAAATTTTAATTTTTCGAGACAGGAATAAAATTATAAAACTTCAATGATAATATGCTAATAAGAGTCGAACACAATAAGTAGGCAACAAAAATGCCTTTATTTCTGGTTTAAGTATTATTGGACGCATGACATATTTTCATGTATTCTTTTATAGGTAAAAGCGAATAAATATTTATGCCAGCACTCTCCCTCTCTCTCTCTCTATCAAGTATCTTCAGTAATTGTTTATAAATTAGAAAAATATATTCTTCTTTATTACTCTTTATTCGCTTTTTTAATAATAAAATCAATATTAAGTTTTAAATTTCTATAAAAATAGTTTTTTATACGCAATATAAACTGTCTCGTTTATGCTACTATGGATTAATTGTAATTGTATATTTACAAACGCTTGACGTAGATCTTTTTGATTCACCTACAGAATCTTGCTATTTATAGATCAGCTGTTTCTCTCTCTCTCTCTCTCTCTCTCTCTCTCTCTTTCTTTCTCTTTGTAAACTGAAAAATTCCCTTTTGTGCTATTCTATCATTAGACTAATATTACATTATTATTTGTTGGAATACTAATTAGATATCAGATAGCAAATTTCTGACATTTAAAATTCTAAAAATTTTTTTTTCGGTAACTAATCAATAGAGAGCAACATTTTCATTTAGCATGTATATATACCATTAGAAATAACAGTAAGAACTAAAAGAAGGAATCTTCATAATAAAGACAATGTTCTGACTTCATAATATTACATATAGGTAATCAATTGGGAGAAGTTGCAGAATAGCAAATTCAGAGAAACTCGCGACAGAATATAGAGAGATTCTATTGTACAATTCCCGCTAAAATTCATTAAAAAATATCCTTTGTGAAAAAACTTAACTATCGTACGAATCCATCAAAAGATTACCATCTTTGTCTTTTAATCGTTTTCTTCCACTGGAATACCGTGTTTCTTGAGTACCATCCGCATATACTAGTTTCACAGTACCATCGGGATACTCTCGTCTCTGAAACATTTGAATATATATGCGATATTAGTTGAAACGTATTCATATGCTTCGATAAAGAGGCGAAATGTATGACTTATATGAATTAATCAAAACGGTACATTTTAAAATAGTAAAGTTAAATTAAACTTGTTCTTACCTTATGCTCTTTCGTATGAATTTCCCTCTGACCATTCGGTAAAGTCAGAATTTTGTCGCCATTAATAAAGGTTTGCGCTACTGTCCCATCTGGCAAGGACCACTTCTCCGTACCATCTGCTTGTACTATTCGTATAGCGCCGTCCGGAAACGACACTTCCACGGTACCATCGGGCGCACGCTTCTCCACTTGACCGCTATATATTTTTTATTCATTATACATGTCGATTATTTAAGTATAAATAAAAATCAAGCGTGAATCCAAGAAAATAAATATAATAATAAAAGATAACATATATATTTATAAAGAAATAAAAACGTACTCGGGAAATTCTAAAATCTCCAAACCGTCGGGAGTCGTTGTATGCCATGTTCGAGTCGTAGCGTAGAAATATTTTACTTTTCCATCCTTGTCGGTCTCGCGAACATCTCCGTTGTAATAAATCATTTTCGTCACTCCTCGATCGGGAAAGACTTTCTTGACATTACCATTTAGATACCAGTACTCTGCATGTCCATCCGAATATTGAATCTGTTTTCCGATATCCTTAGTACTCGCTCCGCTAGTCCGAAGAGAGGAGGGACCTAATGTAGAGTTTAAACTTTTCTCGGGTAACGACATCCGATTTTGCATCCTTATATCGTCTTTATCTGACGAATTCTGATTCACTTCACGTGATCTGTGAAACGATGTATCTGCGTTACTCACAGCGCAAGCCTGTTGCCATTCGAGATCCTCGTATGTGGACTTATGATGGGACATATTATGGGATTTATCATTGGTTTTCCCCGATGTTCCATTGTTTTTCGCATTCCGCAATTGTGTATCTGTCGATTCATTCATATCTTGCTTAATTTGAACCGGATTTTGATCCTCCAGGAAATCCGATGTTGCGTCTTTCAATAAATTTTCGTATAAATACTGCTTTTTCTTCGCGATGCTCTCGTTCGCGAATATTTTATTGCATTTTGACTGTGAACCAATCCCGGCTTTAGATTCTACTTTATTATTCTTTACAGATATATCTTCTATTTGTTCAAAGTCGTCGTTTGCATGAATTGTTTTTACAATCGATTCCATTGATTTGCTTCTGTCTTTATCTTCGTCGTTATCATCATCGTCATGAGCAGAAGCATCCGATGAAGTATCGACCAAGACTTGAGATATCTTCGCTGGAAGCTCTTTGGATGGAACCTTGATGATACGTTTATTAATTTGATTGATAGCTTTTGTAATCATTTGTCCACTTGTATTCTTCCTGATATTTCTGACATTTGTTCTTTTAATGTTCTGTAGGGTCGCGATCTCTTCTTTCAATTTTGAAATTTCTACTCGTAGTACGCGGAGCTCACTTCTATACCTCGATTCGGCGGCATGCCACCTGCTCTCCCTAATATTCAGTTCGTCCCTCAATTTTTCCAATTGTTCTTGCAAGGTTTGCGCATTCTGTCTTTCCATTTTATTTTGTTTTGCCTTTTCTTGAGCATCGCGAATTCTATTCTCCATTGCTATCCTCTCACGCGCCAGTCTCTTTTTCTCTTCCTCTAATCGGTTTTCTACTCTTCTTCTGTTCTCTTCGAAATTTCTTTCCTTCTCCGCGTATTCTTTACGCAGTATCGTCTGATCTTCTTGTAGATTTCGGCGCTGGAGCAACAGAGCTGCACTTTCCTTTCGAAATATATCGATTTCTTTTTGGAGTTCTAATAAACGGCTTTTCAATAGTTCTGATTCAAAACCATTCGTCCGATTTGTCCGATCTTCGGACAGATGATAAAAATCGATCTCTTCCGCATTCGAACGTATTTTTGCTATCTTCTCCACTGTTATTTTTTCTGGCTCACTTCTTAATATATATTCTTTCCTTTTGTGTGTATTCAGTTCTCGATGAACATCTGATAATAATGAGGATGACGATGACGATAAGACAGATTGCTCTCTCTCTTCGTCAGATGTTTGAATTTCTTCTATTATCGTACACTCATTATCATCGTATATATCCTCGCCCGGCGAATCGTTTTCACAATTTGGAGCATTTTCTTCTTCGGGAATATTTACAGCTTTCGTTATATTTTCTTGCAAGAACGATCGTCTCGAAACAATCGTTTTTTCATTGCTCGTAACTTTCAAGGAAGACATTTGTTTTTTATCATTTAACGGCAGGTTCTCTTCAATGTCAGATAATTCTGATGAATCAATGGAATGATCGTTCCAGTCCTGTTGCTCGAGACGATCTCTCAAGGGAGATTTATCTGCCGTGTCACTTAAATCTATAGTTCTATATTCGTTATATTCCGAGAATCTAACGCGATGATTCGCATCTGCTTCACCATCATGCGCTACATTATTTCCTTTGGAAATATCTTCCTCTTCATCGCTATTTAATGACAATGCTGCAATAATAGCTATATCATGATTTTTCAAATAATCTGCATGTACTTTATTATTCTGTGATACTTGATTGGCAATTGTTGAATGTTTCTGTATCTCCTCTTGCGTATCATTTACAGTTACAATATCCGAGTAAGGATCGATGGTGGCGGCACTAATATGAGAACGTTTATGAATGCCAAAGTGTTCAAACTGGTGTTGTATCCTGGGTTTTAAATTTTCTATGTCTGTAGATCGCTGAGATATCGATTCCCGCTCGATTGTATCACTGGTTCGTTCGTCATTTTGCTGTCTCGTACTCGCCACGACACCGCCTTCACTGCCTGCACAATTTAATCTCTTCTTTATTTTAAATGGTGTAGACTGCTGTAAAAACGCAAGTACTGTGCTCGATGTTGAACAGAAACTAGAATTTTCAGCTTTTTCTTCCAAAAGTTCAAATATCCTTACCTCTTCCAATTCTCTTTCTGTCTTTGAATCAGAATCTGACATATTCATTTCTTGCAAATATTTTGATCGATTAGAAACAGCATTATATGCAGTTTGTTTATTTGGAGTAATATATTCGGATTTATTAAACATCTTATTTCTTGGTAATGGTACAGTTTTTAAGTTTAATTGTCGCTTTTCACTTATAACGGAATTATTCGGAGATTTCGAGACTACATCTTTATGTATAATAGATTTCCTGCTTTTATCA